CTACAACACTCAATGCAGTTCAAACGCATTAGGGTGTGTGTGCGAGGCGCTTGTCGTCGGCGTGACAGCGACACGATCATGCTTCATCCCGGGCCGCCGATGGCCGATAAGGTTGCCCTAGGGTGGGAGGGCCCTGCGCGCGTCGTCACGCGGTGCTCAAACGCCTCGCGGCGGTGCTGGCACGCAGCCCGCTGCCACGGTGCAATATGCACAAGCCGGCTCGCGCGGCCGCGATGCTGTTCTCACGCCGCGCGATTGGCAGCAATCGGCAGCGCGAGTGTCAACGCGCAGCATAGCCTCGGCAGTGGCGGTGATGGCGCAGCAGGCGCAGCAGCAAAGGCCATGCCCAGCTCCCTCTGCGCCACCGGAGCGTAGTGCGGGTGTGCGCGATGCCATCCCCGTGGGCGTCATCAACTGTGCGCTGGTGGCGAGCCTCTGTGGTCCTCAAATGGCCCTTCTGGCGCTTCGATGCCGCTGCAGCCGCGGCGCAGCTCGACGCGCACGGGCAGCTGTGCTCTCACAGTATGCCATTGCTACACACAGCCTATGGGAGGGTGCACACTTTTACCGGATCCCGCCGGGATCCCATGCTGGTGTGCGATGCTGTTCGGAGTGCCACTCGGTGGTAGCTGCGACGCGAGCGCTGCTGGGTGTGCCAGAGGCCAGCGCAGCATCCTAAGATCGAGCCACACCAGTGGCCCTGTCACGCCGGGCGGAGAGGGCCGCGTTTGAAGCAGCACAGGGAGCCGCACACTTTTACTTCGCACGTAAAAGTGTGCACACACCGGTGTGCAAGCAGGATAGCCCACACAGCGTGGGTCGGGCCCAAGTGAAGGGCTAGCCTGTGGAGAGCTCAATGCACACACTACTGCCTGGGCCGTATCCACTAGACAGGCCACATAAGGCGAACGGCGTGCGCACATGGGGCACCCGAGATCAACCAGTAGTGTGCGCGTGCGTGCAGGCCGGGTAGGGCTCCTCTAGAATCGGCGCACGAGAAGGGCGGGAGTACCACCTTTCTCGCCCGCTCAAAGCGCGCCTGGCCGTTGCGAAGCGAGCGCCGGAGACCCGCGAGGCGAGACGCGGAGCGGGGGCCCATGTCGGGGCAGCGCGTGTGCGCGTCCCGCTCACGGCTCAGGCGCCAATCCGACAGCATGACCCACGCCTAGCTTGAGAGCAATGCAGATTATGCCCACTCGCAGTCCATCATAACGGGCCTCTTATGTTCACCCGACAACCTTCCGAAGCGAGAGCTGGCAATGCGCCGTCCGGGCTTGTGCGCCTAGGCCAAGGCGCGGCAGTACAGCCGACTATCGGCGGTTTGGACTGGCTCTCGTCAGCTGCACGCGCGCCCGGGTTGAAGCGGGATGGAGTGGTGACACCGGGCGGTGCGTCAGGCTACCCGACGACGTTGGAGTCACTGTCACACGTCGCGGACAGCCTGCACACACGGCGGGGCCGGTGCGAAACGGGTGAAAAAGAGACTTTGCGGATTTCAACCGACTATGCGGGGTTTCTACTACCCAACCAGTCGGTAGCACGTCTGGCGCGAACGGCTACGGCCTTGCTCTCCACGACCACGGTCTCGTATGAACCTCGGTTGGTCAGGAGCCATCTCCATGTCCCCCGCTACTGTAGGTGGGCGCCGCTCGCGCACACCCACTCACCCAGTTGCAACAATCAACTCTAGACCCCGTCAACTCAGAGTGTCAACCACGACTCCCGACACGGGAACACTGCACCTCATTCAGCCACAGACGCCGCAGCCGCCGGGCGTGTCCTCTGAGCTCTGTCCTGACTTGACACGCGGCGACGGCGACTGAGCAGCCTGCGAGCTCACTGCCCTGCCTTGATTCCTTCGGACCACTAAACCGCTCTACCTCGGCAGCAGAAGTGGGGCTGGAGCGGGTGGGGGTGGATGCCGATTGAGGGGGAGCGTCTCCAGCTGCGCCCTGTGGCAGCTGCGCCCTGTGGCAGCTAGTCGAGGGACTTGGTAGTTGTGACCCCCCTGAGTGAGCGTTTTGTGGTGTTTGTTGGTGTACGCAATAACGGGACAGGGTGGTTGTTCTCTCTATCTCCTCTTCTAGCTCTTAGCATGAGCTGCGCCCTGTGTCCGACCCCTTTTGCGCAGCAACACCTTAAACTTTTAGGCCCTCCAAATTCGGGTCGGAGCGTAGCGGAGTGGGCCCCGAGTTTGAAAAGGGCGACGGACGCTTGCGTCCTAGCCTCCAACATCGCCTCCCCGGCGCAGAGGGGCCCCCGGAGGGATGCACAACCGCTCCACGCCACGCCGCTTGCGGCGGTCTTCGTTATTTTTGGCGGTAGCTATCTCCCCGGCCCGCGCCACCGATTGTAGTGTATTACGAGGAGAAAGAAGCCATGCCGATCGACGTCGTTCTTCGCAGCGTGCCTCTCCACCTCACCGACGCCCAGCTGTGTGCTCTCCTCGGCGTCGAGACGGTCACCCGCTTCCGGCGCACGTCCGGCCCGTCCGAGAAGCAAAATCCTCTCCACCTCGTGCGGGCGTGCTGCCGAAGCGAGAGTCAGGCGGAGCAGCTTCTGCTGCAGGGTCGCGTGAGTCTTGATGGGCAGGAGTGCGCCGTGGAGCGACCAAAGGCGGCCTCAGACAGCTCCGCCGCCACCGGCAAGCGGCCGGCGACGACGACGCTCGAGGCTCTGCTCGAGAGCTTCCCTCGCGTGGGAGAGGCTGTCCTCGTGCCGGCCGCGGCGGGAGGCGAGGCGGACGGTGGAGAGGAGGGAGGAGCAGCGGAGCGAGGCATGGCGGTAGGAGAGGCGGCGGAAGACGGCGAGAGCAGCTCCACTCCGGACACCTCTACTACTCTCTCCTCTGCTCCTCTCTCCTCTTCTCCTCCCGGCAGCTACTGCTGCTGCCGAGAGACGGATGGGTACCGTCGGGCAGCGGCGAGCAGCCTCCGCCCGGACGACCTCGTCCTCGAGATCGGCAGTGACCGCGGCGCGACGTGCGCCACCGCCGCGGAGATCTGCGGCGGCGAGGCGGTGGTCGGCGTTGACCTGAGCGACACCTCGGTCGAGGCGGCGAGGGCGGCGCACCCGTCGATACGCTTCGAGAAGGTCTCGACGCGCTGCAGCAGCCCGCCCCGAGATTGACCGAGCTCGAGCGAGACTCACCGAGATTGTGGGCTTGTTGGCGAGCCAAAATGGTGCCGTCCTCCCGTCCCTCAGGCCCGTTTTCTTTATTTCTTTGTTTAGAACGACGGATCGACAGGGCCGAGATGCGCCAGAGCCAAGTCAACCTCGCACTCGTCGCCAGGGGCTGGGCGCACAGAGTCCCAACCGTCTCGGTCTTCGCTCACTGCCCGCCTGGCGCCCACGCCTCGATCTTCTTGGGCAGCAGCTGGTTCGACAAGTCCTCTCCGTGCCCTAGGCAGCCGTGGCCGCCCTGACCCCAGGTGAAGACGGCGCCGTCGGCGGTGCGGGCGGTGCTGTGGAATGCTCCAGCCGACACAGCGACGACGCGCCGGCCAGCAAAAGTCTCGACCTTCTTCGGCAGCAGCTGGTCCTGCTCGTCACCGTGGCCCAACGGACCAAAGCCTCCACAGCCGCAGCTCCAGACAGCACCGTCGGCGGTGATGGCGAGGCTGTGCAGACCTCCAGCCGACACAGCGACGACGCGCTGGCCAGCAAAAGCCTCGACCTTCTTTGGTAGGAGCTTGCGTTGCTCGTCGCCGTGGCCCAGCCGGCCAAAGCCTCCATCACCCCAGCTCCAGACAGCGCCGTCGGTGGTGATTGCGAGGCTGTGGCTGCTTCCAGCCAGCACAGCGATCACGCGCCGCCCGGCAAAGGCCTCGATCTTCGTTGGCAGCGGCTGCCACTGCTCGTCGCCGTGGCCCAGCTGGCCAAAGGCTCCACCGCCCCAGCTCCAGACAGCTCCGTCGGCGGTGAGGGCGAGACTGTGGCTGCTTCCAGCCGACACGGCGACGACGCGCCTTCCCGCCAAGGCCTCGATCTTTGTGGGCAGCTCCTGTTCGGCGACGAGCTCGTCGCTGTGGCCCAACCGGCCAGCGTCTCCCCAGCCCCAGCTCCAAACACTGCCGTCCGCGGTGAGGGCGAGGCTGTGGCTACCTCCAGCAGATACAGCGATGACGCGCTGGCCCGCAAAGGCCTCGATCTTCTTGGGCTGCCACTGGCTCTGCTCGTCGCCGTGGCCCAGCCCGCCCAAGCCTCCATAGCCCCAGCTCCAGACAGCTCCGTCGGCGGTGAGGGCGAGGCTGTAAGAATCTCCAGCCGACACGGCGACGATGCTCTCGCCACCCAGCGTAGGGAGGCGGGTCGGCGTGTTGAGCCGCAGCACGCCCTCACCGTGACCGAGAAGGCCTGGAAAGTCCTCCGCGTCGTACTCGTCGTCCTCCTCGCCCTGTGCTGCCATGCCGCACGACGAGAGCCGCCCCTCGCCGTCGATAAAAAGGCTGTGCTGCCAGCCTGACGCCGCCCTCGCTGGCAAGTTGGACTCGCGCAGCAGCGCCGACAAGCACAGCCACCGCACGGCGCATCCCTCGCCCTCTGGCAGCGCCGGCAGCTCGAAGCCGCGCTCTTGCGCCCACAAGCGGATGGCCTCCACCGCAAGCGAGGCGTGAAAGAGCAGCGAGACGGCCGCGACGCGAGCGATATCGGTGGGGTCGCAGTGAGAGAGGGCGCGCACGAGGAGCTCCGTGGGGAGGTCGAGGAGGCGGGCGGGCGGCGGCGTGTCTGGCGAGGGAGCGGCGGTGGAGGCGGTGGCGAGGCGGCGCGAGCGGCGGCGCGGTGGGGCAGACATCGCGAGAAAAAGAATCTGAAAGGACGAAAAAGAATTTTACAACGAACAGCCTCGCACAACACTGGGCACAGGAAGGTTGAAGCGAGAATCGGAGAGAGACCGCGAAGAGAGATAGGAAGAGGCAGACCCCCTAGGGTAGGCGACGGCTAGCGCATCACACTCCTCTCCTTAAAATCCCTGTGTGGTGGCGGCGTGCCGTTCTCCCATCCCTCCCTTGGGTTGTCTGTTTTCTTTCTTTCTTTACTGGGCACAGGACTAGAATCTTGGTGACACAGTTTTTCTTTCACGAGGTGTATTCGCCTGCCAGCAGGAAAGGAAAAGGACGTCGCGGGACGAGGCAGACGAGAGCGACGCGGCAGAGGAGGAAGCGACAGGAGGGAGAACGACGAGAGTGGGACGACCGCGAGGCGGCATGAAGGTTGCAGCGGGGGTCCCGACCCCCCCTCCCTGGAAGCGAAGTGTCGTGCGAAAAAAGGAAATTCCCCCAACCAAACACTCGCAAAAAGAAAAGGGGAAAATCAACCTCGCAGGCCCGACACACAGGTGCCGCGATATAAAATGATTATCACGGGCAAGACGATATAAAATAATCATTACCAAAATGATTACCAGCAACACTCCCAGATGGTTCTCCTGCACATCACACCCCGACACAATCATGTTGAACCATAAATGTGACAAACAAAACATCTAAATGTGCCCGACTCGATCCTCTTCCGCTCTTGAGAGGCACATTAGGGACTCCGTCTCCCGGTCGTGTGCCGCCACGGCCAGCCAGCACAGGACAGCCGCTTTTGTGTTTTGACGCACCCTGAATTACGAGAAACTCAAACGAGCCTCAAGTGAAGAGGTCCTCACCTAGGTCCTCACGCCAAGAGGTCCTCTCCAAGAGAGGTCCTCCTAGAGGTCCTCACGCCAAGAGGTCCTCACGGCGCAGTGGATTATCCGTCGCAGAATGGTTGCGCGCCCCTACGCCGCCCCGCCGCGCGTCGCGACGGCCGGCGGCACGCCTTTGTTTCCTCTCGATCCTCCCTCCCCCCCCTCTGTCCCGTGTCAGAGGCAGCGCTTCGTTCGAAGGAGCCAAAGCCCAGTTGTTCAACTTGTTCGAGCAACCTGTGTCCTGTGAGAGGCAGAGTAGAGAGAGATAGGAGGATAAATTGGTGGTGAATGTGCAGCATGGTGACGGCGTACGGCGGGAAGTGGACCTTTGACGTCGCGGTGGAGACGAACGCCTGCACGGTGAGCACGACTTCAACCCTCGTAGTGTGTACCGCGAGCAGACACGCGGTGCGTGTACCAAAGATAGTGGGCCATTTTGAAGGGTTGAAATAGGCCTTCCTCCGGTGGGTCGCCCGGGCGCTGCGCGGCACGCCCGGCGGGGTCGTTGACGTGTGAAGTCCGTTACACACACCGCGATGTGTGTGCGAGATGTGTCCGATCACCGTGACAGTGGGTGACAGGGTGACACCGTCACCGCGACACTGCGACTTCGTCACTCTCGCGCGAGGGAGTGACGTCAGCGGACAGCGCGCTCCATAAGCAATTAAATCGGTGGCCGTTGCCTCTATGTATCGTATGAGGTATGTGTGCGCGCTCAATGATAGTTTTTCGGCATCCGCCTCGCGGTGCACGCTATGCGTGACCACCAACTCGCGCAGCGAATCTGTTCGTCGATTTGGTGCATCTGCTTTCCTTTGCGAGTCCTTTACGCCACCTTCATCGAGAGGGCTTCCTCAACTGCGCAGCACACCGGAGGATCGACGCTCGTGAGTGAGGAGTCCGGAGTCATCGAGGTGTGGCTGGTGGTCTTTGCACAGTACTTCTGCATCGGCATCGTGCACGGCTCGCTCGGCACCCCGCCCCTTTACCGGTGGCCGGTCGCACTTCTCCTTGCCCTGCTCCTCTGGTATGACACGGGGTTTGAAGCCTCGTGGGGCCAGGCGCAGGAGACGCGCGCTTGGCTAGCGGCCGCGATGGTCGCCGCCTGCATTCTGATGCAGGCTCTCGAGATCAAGCAACGCGACGACTTTGGGCTCGAGGTGTGTGTGCGACATCTCGGCGCTCTCGGCTCCGGCTCAACCCAGTCCCGGCTCCGCCTCTCGGCATTTATCTCGGCTCTGTATCTCTGTTCTGCCCGTCTCGGCTCGAGCTCGAGCTCGGCTCGGCCTCGCGCGTGCCGGCTCACGGGACGCCTTTTTTGCGCCCGAGGCTGCGATGCGCCGTCGCATCGAGCAACTAAGCTGTGAGAAGGAGCGCATGGCGTGGGACTACCTACGGCTTCGGCAACTGGCGCCGTCGGCGAATGGGGGAGCTACCGCACCAAGTGGTGCGGGGGCGGGGGCGCCAGCTGCGCGCACCATCACTCTGGGACAGATGCCGGGGGGGGCGGAGACAGATGCGTCGTGCTCAGAGGGGCGCCCCTTAGGGGCCCTCTGGCCATCCGCACCATCCGGCGCGAGCAGCAGCAACTACACGAACAAGATCGGCGGCGATTGCGCCAGCTCGACCGGAACCCCCTGAGTACGAGCGTCGGGTTAGTGCCAGTGATGGCCCTAGGGAAGATAGAGGAGTGCGCTGTACCCTGAGGGCGCCGTACGTACATTGTAGATCCTGTTAGAGATCCTGTGGCATGGCCATGACGCATGAGACTGTCCCGCTCGCCATATGACTAGTTGCAAATACGGGTGCTGTGAACATGACCACTTTTGATTTAATGTTGTCCGTGTTGCTCCCAGCGCCCCCCCCCGCGCTCCCTGAGGCCATGGCTGGTGTTACTAGTATGGGGGGCTACCACGACGACACACACCAGTCGACTCGCATCGGTTGCCTCCATGAACGGCGGAGCTATTCTCGGGGGGATTTTTTTCTTTTTTTCGTCTCCGCTCGCTTCGCCGTTTGGTGGTTGCTCTGCCTGAGAGAGATGTGTACCCGGCTGATGCGCGGCTTCGTCGTCGACGGTGCCTCTGGCTCCGTCATGGACGTGCCCGTGCCGGAGCCCGCCGAAGGCGAGGCTCTGGTGCGTGTGCTCGTCGCCGCGGTCTGCGCGACCGATATCGAGATCATGAAGGGATACATGGGCTTCAAAGGCCTCGCCCGCCATCGCCGTCGCCGCCGACATCAGCGCAGCGTTCACGCCTCGCCTCCTCCGCCCGCCGTCAGGCATCGTTGGCCACGAGTTTGTCGGCGTCGTCGAGACGGCGCCCGCCTCGCACGCCCACCTCGTCGGCAAGCGCGTCGTCGGCGACATCAACCTCTGCTGCTGGGACGCGGCGTCGTGCGGCACGTGCGCCGTCGGCGGCGCGCGGGCGCGCAACCACTGCCCCAAGAGGACCGTGCTTGGCATCCTCAACAAGGACGGGACCTACTGCGAGCGGCTCACCCTCCCCGTCGTCAACCTTCACGCCGTGCCGGACGGCGTCTCGACGGAGAACGCGGCGTTCGCCGAGCCGCTCGCCGCCGCCTTTCGCATCGCGGAGCAGCGGGTCGTCTCGCCAAAGGACCGCGTGGCAATCATCGGCGACGGCAAGCTCGGGCTGTTGATCGCCGAGGTGCCAGATATGGGGAGATTGGGGAGATACGGGGAGGTATGCGGAGGTATGCGGAGGTATGCGGAGGTATGGGGGAGGTGTGGGGAGATCTGAGGTGGTGCTCGGCCGGCACGTGGCGAGCCTCGCCTCTCAATTCGTTCCTTCATTCGTTCATCAATCAACCCATTGTCAGGTGCATGCACATGCACATGTGCATGTGCATGCACATGTGCATGTGCTCGGCCGGCACAGCGGCTCATTCGTTCCTCAATCCATTGTCAGGTGCTCGGCCGGCACGCGGCGAGCCTCGGCGAGGGCACGCCGAGGCCGGTTCTCTTCGGCAGGCGAGCTTGCGGCGAGATTGCGGCGAGATTGCGGCGAGATTGTGGCGAGATTGTGGCGAGGCAGGCCAGATGCGTCCCAGATTGCAAGCGAGGTCGACACGCGAGAAGGGCACCGCGCGTGGGAGCGCCCGCTGGGCCCTGGGCCGCCCCTCGCCTTCATTTCGGCTATCTCATCGCTGTCTCTCGGCTGTCTCCCCGCAGGCACGCGGCCAAGATGGGGCTGCTGTCGTCTGCGGCGCAGGTCGAGGCCGCCTTCCCCTACCCCCACGGTACCCGGACCCACCCTACCAGAACACACCCTCCTCTACCCCACGGTACCCGAACCCACCGGCCGTGGCGCAGGTCGAGACTGCCTTCGCCGCATCGGCGCTGCCAGCTCGCGCTGCGAGCTTCGACGTCGTCGTCGACGCGACAGGCGCTCGTCTCCCCTATCCCCACGGTACCCGAACCCTCCCCTACCCCCACGGTACCCCACCCATCCCCTACCCTCCCCACGGTACCCGAACCCACCCTCCCCTACCCCACGGTACCCGAACCCACCCTCCCCTACCCCACGGTACCCGAACCCACCGTCGTTGTCGACGCTACCAGCGCTTGTCTCGAGCCGCAGTGATCATAGCGGCCACTCTCCGACCTAGCCTCTGCGTCTCTCGCCACCGCCGGGGGGGGGGGGGTGTGGGTGCCCCCCCCGCTGTGGCGTGCAGGTTTGGCGCGGGGTGAGAGCAGCGGTGAGATGCGTAGGCCCGCCCACCGGCCTCGACCTGCTGGTGAACCGGGAGCCCTCTCTGAGCCATCTGCAAATGAAGCAATGCGTAGGCTCGCCCACCGGCCTCGACCTGGCGCGCTCGCTCTGCCGGCCGCTCGGCGCAGTCGTACTCAAGTCGACGTGTGCCGCAGGAGCCGACTTCAACATCTCGGCCACATCTCGGCTACACTTCGGCAATGTATCGGTCACATCTCGGCCACATCTCGGCCCCATCTCGGCCACATCTCGACTCCTTCTCCGCAGGAGCCGACTTCAACACGGCGCCCTTCGTGGTGGACGAGCCGCGCGTGGTTTCGGCGCTGTGAGGTGGGAGCGGCGTCTCTTCACAGCGTGCAGCCGTGAACAGGTCGACGAGCTGCGCGTGGTCGGCTCGCGCTGCGGCCCCTTCCCGCCCGCGCTCGAGCTGATGGCTGCAGGCGTCGACCCTCACGCCCCTCACCCTCGGCTAACCTCGGCTGACCTCGGCTGCCTCTCGGCTGCCTCTCGGCTGCATCTCGACGGTCTCTCGGCTGACCTCGGGGCTGACCTCGGCTGCATCTGGGCTGCATCTCGGTTGCATCTCGGCGGCCTCTCGGCTAACCTCGGGGCTGATTTCGGCTGCATCTCGGCTGTATCTCGGCTGCATCTCGGCGGTCTCTCGGCGTGTAGGCCTCGACCTCACGCCCCTCATCTCGGCCACCTACCCGCTCGAGGAGGCGATGGCCGCCGTCGAGAAGGCGCGCACCAAGGGGACGCTCAAGGTGCAGATCCGAGTCTGCAGCGACGAGGCTGCTCCCGAGCTCGACACGTCCTCGTAGATCAGAGAAGGTAAGTAGACAGTGCAGACCGCACGACGATTACCGTCACGGGCCTCTGTTGCACCCGGATGTCTGCACACTCATGTACCGTACCGGAAATCGGGGTCTGTCCAATGGCGTTTCGCGTTGACCGTTGTCTCTAGACTTGCGGCACGTGTTTATAATTATCATTTGAATTTTGATAATTCCGTTCAACCAACGTGAATGTCCAATCAGGTAAGGTAGGGTAAAGTAAACTTCTCCACACACACGAGGTGGTGGGACAACTAGCTCTATTACGTGACAGTTTGATGGGTGTGTACGCTATTTGTCGGCCTCCCCTACACACGCAGCGCGAACCAACCCACAAGGGACGACGCACGTCCACACAGACATGGCAGCGCTCCGAAGCCAGGCGCCCGCGTGGGGGTTAGGCTGCAGCACCGCCGGGATGCGGAGTCGGAGCGCCCCTGGACAACGCGCGGGCGCGGAGTGCGCGGGGATGCGGCGTCGTCGAGGAGCGAGGCCGAGCGCTCCGCTGCCAGATCCAGTGCAGTGGAATGCTGCGCCGCATGCTCAGCAAGAGGCGCCATTTTCTGTTCAGCAAGAGGCGCCACTTTCTGCTCAGCAAGAGGCGCCGTTTTCTCATCGATGGTGGAATGCTGCCATGGACGGAGACACCAACCAATTGCGGGATCAGATGGCATCCGGTACGGCAGTGAATTGCGTGCAGCTAGGCACCGGCAACACCGCGCTCTTTTTGGCTGTGCTCCACGACAAGCTGGAGGCCGCCAGCTTTCTTCTCGACGCTGGAGCCGAGTTTAAGCTTGACAATCTTGGCCGCACACCACTCTATGTGGCGAGCAGTGCTCTTGCAGTCGACCTTCTCGTCGCAGCGGGAGCCTCTGTGAATGCTCAAGACAAAGACGACAACACGCCTCTGCACACGACCAAAGTCGCTGAAGTGGCGCAAGCTCTATTGGCCGCAGGAGCAGATGCAAGCCTGCGAAATCAGCATGGGTGCACAGCGCTCGAGGTGGCGCTCGCAATGGGTTCGGGCGGGGCTTTAGGATGGATTGGTGTTCGGAAACCGCAGGTAGCTGCGATCATACGGGCTCACCAGGGGATTAGCGATGGGCCACTTGGCAATCTGGGCACGTCTTCTTTCGCACTTCCAGGCGTATCAGCGCGAGCCCTTCCAGACGTGTCGGAGGCAGCCGCACCAGCTGCACCAGCAGCGTCGGTGCCGGCACCTGTGCCCGAACCGGCACCCGAACTGCCACCCGCAAGCGCAGAGCCGTCGAGTGATGATGCCGTTAGAGACGCGGTCCCACGTCCGGAGGCGCTCGCCCGGATGTCCCGTGCCGAGCTCGAGTGTCGCATTGTTGCGACGCGGCAAGCCCTTACTGCCCTTGAGGGTGAGCTGTGCCGGCGCCGGCAAGACGACCAAACGTGTGTGATCTGCATGGACAAGACGATGAATACGGCATTCGTGCCATGCGGCCACCAGGCATGCGCGGAATGCGCGGCGACCCTGACGACGTGTCATTCGTGTCGAAGCGTTATCGATCAACGCTTGCGCCTATTTGCATGATTCCTGAAGGTTACGGATCACGGAGAGCGCAGCGGCTCTGATTGCTACGGCTCTAGAGGGAAACACCTTTGGCTTTGGCCTAAGGTGAAGAGTGACATCGATACGTGGCTGGGTTCACAGCGATTGCAGGTAAATGAAGGGAACACTTGACGGTCGCGGCCTTCTCCGACTCGCGCCTCCGCCTCACTGGCACTATTGTAGCCCTGGCCGGTGTGCGGTGTGCGCGTGTGGAGTGTTGAAGTTCCCGACCGTCGTGAAGCCACATCCACACCGTTCCTACGCCTGTGTTTGAACACGCGCGGGGGGGGGGCGAGTGTGCGGGATGTCTGTGGGCCCGAGAGCGATGTGCGTGTGTTCGCCTTGCGTTTGTTTCATAACATCGAAGGGTAAGCTCAAAAAGAGAATCTTACAACAAAACTCCCTCGCACAACACTGGGCACGGGACTGGCGCGCACTGGCACGAACACAGGTACACCACGGGAGCCGCCTAAGCGACTCCTGCGAGGGTGGCGAGGCACTTAGCTCCGTGCACCCGCCCACCCCCGCCACAGGCAAGCTCATTCACGACCTGCTCTGCGATGGCCGTGTGAAGAACGACTGAGATGCGCTGCTTCTGCAGCCCCAGCCAGCTCTTGGTGGTCCAAGTCACCTCATCGAGGTACTGGGCCCGCGTCAGCTTGTTCTGTAGCACGTCCGCCGCTCTCCGGAGGATCTCACGGACCCCCTTTCCGAACCCGGCGAACGATTCGAACAGCAGCAGCTGCACTTCGACGCCCTTGTCTTCCCTGGCGTAGCGATAGTCCCCGCCGTAGGACGGTATGCGGGGGTCGCCGCCCACCACCTTGCCCCCCCTGGTATGCCAGCGCCCAGTCCCTTGCCCTCTTTCGCCCTTGCTCTTCCTTTCCCCCTCCATGCCGCCCCCCCGGTACCCTTCCCCCTCCCCCCCCCCCTCCTCCTCTCCCCCCCCCTCTCCCTGCCCCCCACCTCCCTCTCCCTCCCCGCAGTAGGGCCCATGCCCCAAAAAGAGAAAACAGATAGTGCGGCGGAACACCTATCGCCGGGCCCGCTGGGGGGGGGGCGCGAAACCGAAAGTGCGTCGCGAAGCGCGGCGTGCACCCGGGTGCACCCCCCCTCCACTGCGGAGAGCCGCAAGCAAGCGTCACCATCCGTAAGGCATGCTAGCTCTCCTTGCGCAGGGTCTTGCGCTGCACCCCTCGGAGCGCGAGCTCACCTTTGCGAGCGCTCACCAGCACGATAGCAGCCTCCTCGGCGGCGCTAGCGACAATGTCGTGCTCCCCCGGCCCCCGGTCCTCATTAATGGGCCGTCCCAGCCGCAGCAGCCGTCACAAATGCTCGCACTCGGTGCCGACGGGCAGCTCGAGATGCAGGGCCGACCAATTCATCTCAATGGCGTCAACAGCGCATGGGTCACGACGGAAACCTACGGCAGCGACTTTAACACCAGCGCGGCGACGGGGTTTGCTGCGAACAGCTTCTGCGAGTTCAGGCAGCAGGTGGAGACGCTCAGGCTGCATGGGGGCAACTCCATCCGGCTTTGGATGTTTGAGGACGCCGGCATGGAGGAGTGGCGCGCGCCGTTCTTGCTGAACGCGTCCGGTCACATCACCGGCCTTGCCGACGGCGTAGTCGACGCCTTCAAGCGGTACCTGGACATCGCTCGAAATCATAGCGTGCTGGTCATCCCCGTCATGTGGAGCGCCGCGCTCGTGCGCACAGCTCTCTGCTGCTCCGTCCTTGGCGACGAGACTGCGCTGCAGGCCTTCATCGAGAACGCACTTCGTCCGCTGGTGAGCGCTACACGGTCCGACCCGGTCATCGCGATGTGGGAGATCGTCAACGAGATCGAGGGCGTCCTCAACATGTCGACCTCCTCTCCAGCGGGAGGCGGTTGCTCGGACCTCTCCGCCGTCGCCAGGTGTGCCGGCCCAAACAACCAACCCGGTTGGAATCTTGAACAGGGCGGGACGTGCCTCTTCCCAGTCGCCTCGCTCCAGCGCTTCATAAATCGGCAAATCGCGGCGATCAAGCTGGAGTCACCCCAGCATCTCGTCACGAGCAGCTCGTGGAGTCAGTGCGCTGTGACGAGCGAATTCGGCGGGGCACGTGTTTGGGCAGACAAGTGCCTCCAGGACGCAGGCGGGCAGCAGACGGGCACGATCGACGTGTGGCAGGTTCATGATTATCCCAAGGAAGACAACGGTGCCGCCTTTGGCACGGGTTCTCCCGTGACGACGACGGCTTCTCAGTACAACCTCGGTTCGAGACCGATTCTCGTCGGTGAGATCTCAAATCGTTGGACTTACTACACACCAAACAGCAGCGCGACCTACCCTCCCGTCCCGACGTTCAACCAGTCAATGAGCAACGTGACCAAGCACGTCCTCAACAACGGGTTCGCCGGCTCTCTCTCATGGGCGTTCACATGCCTCGTGGGATACGGCCACGACACGGCCTGCCTCGGGCGGGCGGACTTAAGCGACGGGCTCAGCGGGTGGCCGCGGGGGTCGTTCGCACCTTTGAAGCTGCAAGCCCCGACGAACTACGACCTCAGCGGCTCGGTCACGTGCCCGGCTGAATGCGGCACCGAGCCCGTCGACCTTGCACCATCTCCGGACTACACTTGCCCGGAGCGAGCGGCCTGGGGAGAGTGCACACAGGACTGGATGCGGGGGTATTGCTCGTTCTCGTGCTACCAGTGCGACCCGAACTGCGGCACGGACACCCCTTGCCTTCTCACGTGACGGACGTGCGTGTTGCAACACCCACCTCACACACGCGTCCCCAGAGAGCAGACCCATGAGCACCGCGAACACGACTTGTTTCTTGTAAAAATAACGTCATAAGCTTTCTTTTTTCAACTAGCCTGAGTTTTAACACATCATCTCCCAAAGCTTAAGCCTATCTATTGCTTTCCGCCTATATCGTCATTACACATTAGAGGGTCGCCCCCCCTTGCCCCACCACTTTGTGTGTGTGTGTGGAGACGTTTACCTTACCTTACCTTACCTTATCGTCATATTAGTCACATCAACCATTAATATTTGCTGGCTATTGGAAGGTTTCTGCGGGGGGAACAAAGAGACAACTTGGCACCCTTTGTCTGTTACTATTAATGTGTGGATGTTTTGCCGAAAAACGCATGGGCCCACCTGCACCTCCGGCTGGAAGCAAACCGGTCGTCACTCGCAGCCCCGCCTTCGCACAGAGGCGCCCGGGCCCTCCACCTCACCTCGCCCCGCGGCAGCCTCGGCCGTCGACTCGGCCACACGCGGCTGACCGCCGCCGCCCAGCGGGTCGACGTGCTCCGCGTCGAGCGGCCTGTTCACACCCGGACGGCGCTGTGAAGAGGCGTTTCGTGCACGCAGCCTGTGGCCGCCCTCTGCGCGCGGGGCGACGGGTCGGGGGAGCGAATTTGGACGCAACAACTCCTCGCACATGCGACTCGGAGGGGGTGGTGGGGCGGGGGGGGGGGGAGGGGGGGGTGAAGTGGGAGGGGGTGCCCCAGCGGGGGGGGGGGGGAACGGAACCTCCCTCGAGGGAGCCGCGCAGAAACGCGCGCACCTTCAGGCGAAGTGAGGTGAAGTGAAGTGAGGGAAAGTACAAGCCTTTGGCACACACACACGGGCACACCCACACACACACACACACACGCATACACACACTGGCACACACACACACGGTAACCCACACACACGCACACACTCACTCCTAGTGGGAGAGAGAGAGAGT